CAATATCACTGAAAAAATCCACATTTATAAGGTACGTTTTTACTGAATAAGAAAATGTATTCCGAAAAAAAAACACGCTAAGAAAAACTCATTTCTTTGCCATTGCATTCAGAATATAAAGTAAACATTAATTTTAATTTAATTTTTCTTCGATTTAATATTAATTTGAGAACTTTAATAAACTTAATTTAATTTTAACATACCTGATATGATTAAACAATAATGTTTTGGAGACATCAGAATAGGTTGTTTACTTCGTGGAATTTCGCTTGATTTGTTTTTATTTGATATATTTATTGGGTGTTCTGAGTCATAATTTATCGATATTTCTCCTGATTTAATAATTTAAAAGAGATATTATTAACGTAGGTATTATATATTAGATTATATGTAATTTGTGTTAAATAATAACACAACGTAAATACTTACCGATTTTAATGTTTTCATAAAGATACAGCATGTATTTTAGTGTATAGTCTAAAAATTAAAATGATGATTTGAGTTTTCCATGCATTTGCCATTTATAATGTTAAAAATAGTTAAAAATAATAATTTTTTACTGTAAATAGATATATTTTCATTTATAAACAATATTATTCAGAATAATTAGGTATATTTTCAATACACTTCACTGTTTCAACATACCAATCCCATAAATATTATAGAAGTTATGTGTTTCTAGGTGGGGAAATTCTCAATACTCCTCTTCCATAAATACAACTACTGCAGTGCACAATGCATAAATGTGTAATCTGCAGCTTGTAAAATAATTTTAGTACACATATTTATAACTAGTCCCTTTTTTAAGGGAAGAGGAGGTTGAGGTTAAAATCTGTGGCCAACCCTTATGACTCAAAAAAAAAAAAAAAAAATTAAAAATCAAGTGCCATCAAATATTGACAAACAAAAATTATACTAGGAAGTGAGGGCGTGAGAGGGATGGCCACAGGTGTTAACTCCCAAATCCTTCCCCTCTAAATAAGGTACTCCACCACGGTTTGATCAGCAGCATGATATTTTATTACACGACCAATCGTGGCGTTTATTTTCCCATCCATAGAACTGCGAACGCCCGTGGACGACTCAACGATTCATTGACAACGCGTCTATCTTGCACCACCCTTCAATGTGAACAAATTGTCTGAGACTCATAAGGTGTATTTTGTTTTTAAGCGTAATATAAGAATATTAGCATTGCTTAAGTTTTTTTTTTTTGTTGACGTTCCTACCCAACCATGGGAACCGGTAATGACCACGCTCCCATGTCGTGTTAACTGGTTATAAGTATTTCTACTAAAATTTTTTTACAAGCTGTGGATTTTAGCAATACACATTGTGTAATTTATTTAACAATAGTGGGCATGGTATGATTTAGGTAGACTTTTCTGTGATAGTTTTATTTTCACCCACTCTTAAAGAAGAAAATTCTCTAAAAAGTACCTTAGGTCACAGCTACAACAATTTTATTAATAGACACAGGAATCGGGCTCTAATTTATATTTATAAAATATAATATTTTAAGACATAAAATAAGAAATTTACATTTAATTAATTATAATATTACAATGCATGTTATAAATTTACAATACAGAGTCTAACCTCCGGTTTTTGATATAAGAGAATCTCCCAATGACATAATCCACTGGTATATTTATTTTCTGTTAAATATGCAACAGTGCAAGCCCACATAACCGTTAACGTCTATTACTAATTTATACTGTGTAAATTAACATTGTTTCGTTAGATGTTGGGTAAAATTAATTATAGCTAAAACTGGGAAAACTAACTAAACTTAACTAAAAAATTATGACTGTGAAACGAGAAAAATATCTTCCGCAATAAATCTCATTATCACATTGTGACGGCTACACTATTGCTTGCAACGGTAATGTCACACACCGGACAGTGAGAACATGCTTATCATTCTTATATTATTAACCTCACCGGTGGAATCCCGGAACGGTTATGGCACTATCACGTCACTGTTTTGTGTAAATAGACCTTAAACTATCCTGGCACATTTATTTTGTAATTAGAAATTATTGATACGGTTGAACCGCCTAAACGAAATGATAACATTAGAAACTTTGACACAGTTTGACAACGAATAATAATTTTTTAGTATCTATGGATTTCACTATTTTATTATATTACAAAAAGACAGACATACTTCACTCGATGGGTGGGTCACTATTGTTGGTGAGAAGTTAGTAAGGTAGAAAATAGAGGNGAAAAAAGATCCTGATATTAGGTTAGGTTAACCTAACCATCTGAGCGGAGTTCAGTTCTAGTTGGTAAAGACTTAAGTAATTTTAGTTTGTATACGATGTTAAAATGAAAATATTTTTATATATGAGGGAGATTTTAAGTAATTTATTAACCAAATCCTATCAAATAACAACATGTGTAAAAAAAAAAAATCGATTTGGAAACCAATTTAAAATAAAACCGATAAATATACATTTACGAAAACGTTTTTCAACAAAAATAGTTAATAACATTTTTAATACAAATTTAAATTTTAAAACTAAGATTTTCACAAATATAAAAAAAATCATTCAAAATAAAAATTCGCACATGTACTAATAGCCAAAATTTTGGTACCTTTATACACTCCAGAATTGTTGTTACTATGTGTTAATGATCTCAACGCAATAGTAATCATATTTTAGCATATTATATAAATAATATAGGTTTATATTTTATTTCTTTTCTATTAAATTGAAATTTAGTGTGATAATTTTTTAATATGTGTATTTACTGAGTATAATATTGTCGGTGATGTTAGTAGGGGAATGGGAACCTACGGCAAAGTAAATACATGAAATATAATTGGACGGTGTAATGCCTCCGTAACCAGTGAAGGTAATTTAAATAAAAATACTTTGTTAATGAGATTCTATTCGAAATAATCCAAAAAGTCTGAATTATTTCATGGATTTGTTGACACATTTAACTAGGTAAAATTACCCCAGGACGGTAATTGTAATATGATTTAAGAAGCGGTAGATTTCAGACAAAATATCGATAGCAGTTTTTTATGATTTGAATTTAAAAAAAATATTGATTTTGTGATTTTTTTTTTATGTTGCAAAATATTTTGTGAGTATTAATTTTGTTCATTTTTTCGTTTTTCCTACCTTTTTTCCCGAATATTCCTAATTATTTTGGAAACCGGTTAAAAAAAATCAAAAATTTCCCTTTACAATGTAATATTCAGGTAAAATTAAATTTCGGAATTGTTACTACTTTTTATTATCAGAAATTCCTGGTAAAAAAAGTTGTTTACAGATAAAGAAAGACAAACTTTGCATGATGGTTGTGCCACTATTGTAGATGTGAATTTTCATCTCTTTCTCCAATCTTCCATTTCAAGGGTTATCAGATCTTCCTCCATTATGTGGATCAATATTTTCCTAGGTTTTCCTCTAGGCTTTTTACTCAGTGGTTTCCACTCCAGTTCTTTGCTAATTTTATCGTTCTCTCCTCTTATCATTATGTGACCTAACCATTGTATTCTTTGGCCTATAACGAAGCTCATTACTGGTACTAGTTTCATCAAATTGCACATTTATTTGTTTAATCTCTTCCTACCGTTCCCAGTTGTTTCATCGATGATAGATTGATGATGTTCTCAAAAGTTCCCAGGTTTTTCTCTGTTTGCTTGGTTGTCGTCCAAGCTTCACAGTCATACATGGTAGTCGATCTTATACTAGCCACATACAGCCTCAAATTCGTGTTCCTAGATATCGTTATGGTTGTTAAGAATTTCGTCAGTGTGTAGCACGTATTTTAGACTTAATTTTATTTATACCAATACTTATTTCCTTTGATCAGTTATTTTTAAATTTTGAGTGGAGCGAAGAAGCTTATAGTTTTACATAGATGTTTATTTTTTTTCTGTGGACAACATTTTCACCAGAAATCTTGCTTCGATTTTTAATTTTAGCAACTTTTCTGAAAGATAATCTGTGTGGGGAGGTACTTTAGGAAGATAATTGTTCGTAGGTCATTTTTTAGGTACTCTAGATATTTTTATTACAATTGTTATCGTGGTTACTTGTATTAGCGAGTATTAATATTGTATACAATAGTTATCATGTATATTATCAATGGTGAAAAGGGTCAAAGTAAGATGAAATTCAGTTGACAGAATTAAACACAGAGTTTGATTCTAGTCTAGATTATAATTAATTTCGTAAAAAGAAATAGGAAAACCGAGACGGCGGTTAACTAAAAGCAGCAACAGAAAAAAAAAATTTAGAACAAAAAAGGGTGGATCAAAATAACTCGAGTATGGACGCTGGGTGGTGATGGCATAAAAATGTTTGTAAAAAAAAAAATTTAAACAAAGGCTGGCGATATATACATATTGCCATCGTGCGTCTTGATTGGCGGCCTTTTTGTGATTTTGTCCGGGTCTCCTCTTCCGATCGACGTACTTGTGTGACTTGTGTCTCGCGTTCGTATAAATCATACCGCGTTACGTAATGCTGTGAGTACGCGTTGTACGTCTACGCCGTTATCGTGGGCGTGTGAGGAATGGCACCGCCCGTCGTTGTAGCCATTATTGTTACCATTGTTGTTGGTGTGTTGTTATTTGGGTA